AACGCAGTAAACTATAAAGTGATTAGATCATTGGGACATTCAAGTTGTACCTTTTTTCCCACTGGGTTTTTAACGGCATTCATCCCCATCAAGATGAACTTGAATGGATCTGGTTTGACTTTAAACTATAGTATGCACACTACTCAATTGATAACATACCATACATGTATGTCAAATCACTTCATTCACTGTCCTCAAATCAACGAATACAGGTTGATCATGGCAAGCTCACAGAAATGCGTCAAAATTGAATCAAATATTAGGCTTTGAGAGTGCACGCTCAATTCCTTATTATAACTTCTACAAACATTACGCAACTACAATCAAAATATGTATCCTCACCTCCACTTTTAACAGACGATGTTCCATCTGGAGGGGGGTAATGACGTGTTTGGTGAGATAATAACTACAATACTCGAGTACGTACAACCAGGTAGAGAATACATTCTACCACGGTCTATCTATATTGCATCTAATATAGGTTATGTACAACATAGAACAAGATATAGGCCTAAGTATAATAATCACCCAATAAGCATCTGAACCTGAAATTAGTGACTAGCATACGCGTCCTCAAATAATATAATTCCCATTAAACCTCACAAAGTAAATAATCCTTCTACTTCATCTGAAGAATAATAAAGACACCTAAGTTCATAGTCATCGACTTACAACTGTTATCAATTTTTTAAATAAGCAAATACAACACACCTTAGGCATCAACAACAGCCGACTACTCGATATTCATTACCCCAACCGCAATATTGTCGCAATCCTTGTCCACAATGTCTGTGCCGAAGAGTTCAAAGACCAACTTCGCAAATGTAAAATACACCTCACAGATAATTTTGATCCCACAGCCGGTATCTGAAAGACCCCCAGTATGACTCCCTATCAGGCAGCGAACGCCAGACCAAAGCAACAGAACTTCATCAACAGCGACTCCATCGTGCTCTCACTTACATTCGCACTCCCATTAGATATGCAGTAGCGAGATACTTCTTTCAACAAAATATGATATCCCAAGAAACCTATACGACCACCATGCCTGCCAACAGCTCTACTCAAAATAATATTTTCATCACTGACAACGACGAACAAATGAATGATTACCCCTCGGATTTGGAATTCGAGGAGGACAATCAATAATGACTAGTATCTCTATGTCATTGTTAAATGCAACCGGCCTACCCAAACAAGCAATCACACCTATTCTTAATTTAGCGGAAAAATCTCATATCTTACTTGTAACAGAAACGTGGCTCTTAACCCCAATAGATACCCCACCCATTGGCAACAATATCATACTTATGGCGAACCCGTAGGAAATACTTACCGTGGACAAAACGGAATAGCCCTTTTAGTGAACCCAAACCACTTCTTACCAGTCCACCACATCACAACAAACCAACCATTATTAGCTAAGTACACTTTATCATTCACAATGCACAAACTTCTTATCCACTGTTTATACCTCCCCCCATCACTACCCAACGACATAGTAGAAAGCATTCTTGAGCAAATACCAACCTCCATGCCAGGCACAACCACTACTATCATATGCAGTGGTTTTAATGCGAGAATGGGCTCACTCACAGGTGATTCGACATTTACATACCGTGACAAGCTGCTGCACGATTGGATTCAAATTAATCATCTAGTTAATTAATTGGAACGCCCGACTGCAATATGGACAACCCACCTCAATCACTTACAATGGAAGGAGTATTATTGACTATTTCTTTAGTGATACTGAGCTACTCACACCAACACTAACCATCCTGGACGACATGTCACTTGATTCAAACCATAAATTCATGACGCTTGACTTCAGCACCGCTTCCACAATCCCGACTACCTTGCCCCCTCAGCGTAGACTATGGAATTTGAGCAAATTGAAAAACCCTCAGAAAATTTTGCTATCGTCAAACTTTCAATGAAACACTAACTGCCTGCTCCCCGAATAGCCACACTGACCCGCAACGTAGAACACGGGCCGTAGAAGAGATAGAACATTTGAACCAAGCGATGTGTGAAGCGATATATACCTCACTGGATACAGTCTGTGGCCGTATGACACAACCAAGAACAATCAAGATGGAACATTTTTGGACAGAGGGCGATGCAAAACACGTTTGACAAAAAAGAACACTACTATCGAAAATGGCGTAAAGCTGCTGGAGTTAACGGACTTCATTACTGGATCCTCCACCAAAAGACCCAAGCCAAACTTCGAAGATTAATACATCAACGCAAACGTGAAACCTGGCAACAATTCTGCTCCACCATGGAGAACAAGGAATTTACTAAAGCCATTGCACGGTTTAGCAAAATAAAAAAACGACGGAACTCAAAGCCTTCCATTTCTAACATAGCAGGTCCTCAAGAAGCGGCAAATAAGATGGCTACTCACATGGAAATGATATTTCAGGACGATATCTCCCAGAAGACCGCAGTCCATCCAACAACTCTCCACTCCGAGGGACAGCTCCCTACAGTCTGGAAAATTTCCCTATTGACAAAGATTTGATACAAACGGCCCTCACCTCGTTACCCACAAAGAAAGCTCCAGGTATTGATGACGTTCGCATTGAGATGCTCCGTTCCGTTGCAGATATTATTACGCCCCATCTATGGTATTCATTCCACCTCTGCTGGCAATGGTCCTATACACCGAAGACATGGCGAGTGGCACAAACAATCCCAATCTACAAGAAAGGTCCTCCGGACGACCCAGGCAACTACCGTCCAATCAGCCTGACTTACGTATTTCGGAAGATCTTCGAATTTTGTCTCAAGGAATACCTTATCGGAAACGGCCCCAACATAGTTATAGCCCAAGGAGGCTTTCGTATTGCACGTAGCTCCTTAGACCAAGCACTATGTCTGGCTGAAATATGTCATATATTACGACGACACCATCGCATCAACCCAGTACTAGCTTTTTGGATATTAAATCTGCTTATGACACGATGGATCGACAACATATTTGGAACACAATTCGCCATCACGTACCGACAGCTCTCCTTATGTTACTTAAGAGCCTCTTTGATGAAGTGGAAATAGAGATACTGCTACAAAATGCTAAGTCCTCACGTTTTTGCCCAGTTACTGGTGTGCTACAAGGCTCTATTCTGTCGCCATTACTGTATTCATACTACATCAATGACCTACCTACTCAACTACGAACCCAAGAAAGAGTGGATGGTCTACTGCCATTGGAATTGGCTCGAAATATGAACTGTTTATTATATGCGGACGATGTGGTCTTGATTGCCGAAGAATCCCAAATGCAATCCCTACTTCAAAAATGTGAACAGCATAGTTACTCCCGTGGTTACCGATAGAACCCTGACAAGTGTGTAATACTGGCTTCCTCTGATCAATCAACGATGGAATATCTCCTTTATGGATCCACACTACGAAGCAACAATTCCTTCCCATATCTGGGAGTTCCTTTCAAGCCCGGTGGTTACCTGGATACTCAAGAGCTCATATATATCAACACAACCAAAGCCCTGGCTACTATGAACACCTTATCGCCGATTGGAGTCAACCCTAACGGCTTTAATAAGCTAATACCTCTCAGGTTCTACGCTCATATGGTCCGCCCTCAACTGGAATACGGATTGGCGATAAGCAAACTGAACAGGACAAATCATATGAAACTGGACAACGTAAAGAACAAATGCATTCGCAGGATATTTGGTGGGTCAATTTGATCCTCTGCCAAGATAATGCGTCACTTAGCCAACTTACCCTCAATGCGAGAAAGAGCCTACACTCTCCAGGCTAAATTCCTGTTACCATCACACACACACCCAGATGATGCCCTACTGTCCCTACTGCTGCCATATGTACAACAACCAAATAGCTCTTCTATCTGGAGTCAGCTCTCTCGTACACCCCTCTGGCAAAGAACCAAGGAAAACACCCCGACGATGGATCAGAAATATCTCAAACAGCCCCTGAAAGACTTTTGTACAGAATCCCTACAAGCAATGCAAAGCGCCCCAACAAACTCTAAGCTCATATCAGTCTGCCGCCCAACAGTAAATTTAGATCCCATACTATGGCTCCCTATGACAAGAGAAGAAAGAAGTCGATGTCTTCGTTGGCGACTTGATTGGTTACCTAGTGGTAACACCACCTACTGCATCCGGCACCCCTCAGCATTGTTCACAAAGACCCACTCAATCCAATGCCTGAATATGCACTCGCGTTTGCAGCAACTACAGCAAATAGATGATCCCCTTTCGTATTTTCTAAATCAGCTACCTAACCATTCGCCTAGACAACCTACGATAAAACGTCAATGGGAACACCAATGGCCGATCCTCTGCTACATACTGTATGAGCTAGACTATCTATTCCACGTCAAAGAAACCCCACCCTTGGATGTTGCTCTAGGATCTTTACTGCTCCAATGGATGTCTCCTTCTAATCACTCAACCTTGTGACAAACTCGTTTTTACCCTTGATCCTAAAGGGCTTTTTAGATACTTTTATAAACAGTCGGATCTGCCCCGGACAATTTTATATAACATTGTGCCCACTGGGTTTTAAAGAAAATTATTTTGTCAATAAAAACCTCTCTATAAACGTACTCGTGCGTCATTTAGTACCCGTTTACTAATCAAGTCAGTTCCTGGCCTGTGATTATAGGGGAGGATGCTGTCAGGTGTATCTTTATCAGTGTTGGAGTAATCAGGCATTTTTTTGTAATGTAAAATAAAGAAAAAAGCGTATCGTATCGTATCGGTATCGTACGTGCTTTTTTTTTTAATTTTGGTACGGTACGGTAACCGCCAATTATATCTTTGTATAATCGACAATTACTTTTTTTGTAACCGAACAATATCCTCCAGCACTGAACCGTCTGGCATTAAAATAGACATCGTCGGAAACAAGCAAGATGGCCGAAAACTTAGTAAAAAGACAGTGATGTGTGTAGCATCTTTGTTTGACAATTTTTTTTTCTTCCACAACAGCCAGGCACTATGCTATTTTGCCCAAACTGTGCCAATTTACTGCTGATCGAAAACGATGGTGGACAAGCTTTCTTTTGCCAATCTTGTCCGTATGTCTATAGCATTCAGAGCCGAGTAAGTCAGTTTTATATAGCACGAAAGTTTAAAATAGTCAGCTTATTTTGGCCCTCTTTTTAGCATACAAATCGTAAAGAGTTAAAGAGAAAAGAAGTAGATGATGTGTTGGGTGGTGCTGATGCATGGGCAAACGTGGATACGACCGAAGGTTAATATTGCAAAGACAATCAGTGACCTGATCCACTTGGCTAATCTTATTCTTTCTTAATAGCTACTTGCCCAAAATGCGAACATGATAAAGCTTATTTCATGATGATTCAAATTCGTTCTGCAGATGAACCTTCCTCGATTTTCTACAAGTGCTGCAACGATGATTGTCAACATCAATGGCGTGAAGGATAAAACTTTGTATATACATGTGTATTTTTATTTATGATTTTTTAATTGTATTCTTATAGTCTTTCCATTGTTTGCATTAAAAGGCTAAATATTCCCGCATCGAGCTTGTCAGTTGTGATTTTTGAATTTTGTAGTATTGAGCAGAATTGAAAATCAGTTGAGAGCAAAGAGGGAAGGATTTGACTTGGAAAGTGATATTGTTTTATTATTAAGCTAAAGATGGGGAATATATGATTATAACCAATAGTAGGAGTATACGTTAAATATTTTCAAGATCTATTATGAATTTTGTGTATAGATGTCTAATATGCTTTTGTTGGTGAGATTTCATTGTTGTTCACAGCAGCAGCGGTAGCGCGTGCAGCCTTTTGTTGCTGTTGCTGGTTGTTGATGGCTTCTCTCATCATTCTTAGTTGAATTTCATAATCTTCAGTGTGAAGCTTTGCTTCTGATAAAGCGTCTTCTCGTTCTTGAACAAGTGTTCTTAAACGGGCTATCTCATCGTTCTGCTCAGCTAACTTCTGTCTCAAGACTGCAGCATCGTTACGTGCTTTAAGATTGGCAGCCTCCAATTGAGAGGCTTTTAGTTGTGCTTCGGCCAGTTCTTGGCTTCTGCTTATGGGTTGAGAAGCCAACAATGCATCCCTTAACTGTTGGGTTAAATCAGCGATTTTTGAGGCATTGTCCCTTATTTGCATTTCGGATTTTGTGGCGCGACTGTACACCAGCTGCAATTCTTCCAATGCCCTTTGATGTGCTTGTTGAGCTTCTTCAGCACGTTGATTCGCCTCACGAGCCCTTTCTTCTGTCGCTTGTCTGGCTGTTTGGTCATGCTGAGAGCGCTTTTGTAACTGCTGCAATAATTTATGCTTCGCTTCATTTTCCGATAAGGCAATGGCTAGTCGTTTTTCTAAATCATCACATCTTGCTTCCGTTACTGTATCTAATTCCTGCTGTCGATGTGCTTTCAGTGCCAGATATTTGCTTTTGAAATAGGCTGCTTCCTGTAAAGCAGCTGTACGCATTCGATCTGCTTGGGCCACCTTTTCTGATATAGGCTGAGCTTGCTTTGAAATGCTTGCTTTGACACGTCGCAATTCACTTTTAACAGAAACCAGTTGCTCAAATAATTTAGCTTTGTCGTTGCTAAAATGGTCAATATCCATCAAGAAGGCTTCATCGGCATCGAAACCGTCATCAAAGGGCTCTTTTAGAGACTGCCGCAATTTACGTGCTAATGAGACTTCCATTCTCCACCAATTCTCTTTCTTTTTCATTTCGCTAATGATTGTGTCACGAGTTGCAATTTCACGTAAAAGCGTTTGGCGTTCTTCTGCAACCGCTATATTGGCCGCTTGAATTGCTGCTGTGCTGGTTGCATTATTGCTCCCAGTACTGGTACTAGTGGTTGTCTGTTGTTGAATCTGTACTGACTTGCTTGGTTTAGGAGACGGAGATGTGCTATTGGGTGATGCTAGGCTGTCATGTTGACGATTGGGCGAACGTTCAGAAATTGGTTCAGATGGTTGTTGTAATGGTTGATGATGATACTGAAGCTGGCTGTTACTCGTAGGTATTTGCGATTTTGGGCGCTGTATTTCATCTTGATCATGTTGTTCCGACGTTGCTACTCTATGATGAACGTCGGTAGGCGACATTACTGTGTTTCGTTGAACATTTCCTAAACCTACACCATCACGAGAAGGTCTTGGGGGCGGCGTTAAATTGTTGCTAAAGTTCGGTGAGCTTCGACTGTCTACTGGTTGGTTTGCGTTAAGAGAATCAGGAACGGACAAGTTGCTATTTTGCTTTTCCATAGGAGTGGGTGACGAAATAGGCGGTTGATAATGACGGCGAGCGTCAGAGGCGATCTCTGATTCGGTATATGGCAAAGGGGAGGCTCCACGAGGGCGTCTTAATGCTGCTTCAGGAACAGTCGAGATATGCCGTGGAGGTCGAACGGGTGGTGTCTGTAATACTCAAAATAGGTTAGATTTATTTTACGGTATGCGGATCTTTATGTATTTACCTGTTGGGGAGAGATTTGAGAGTCTGGGAAAAATGACCTATGACGAGGTGAAGCGCTTGAAGGGCTACTGTTATCACTTATCGGTGACGATGGACTGTCATTACTGCTATAATACGTCGAACTATCTCCATCTTTTCGAATATTATTAACACTGTTCATAACAGCAGTAGCAGCAAGAGAATATTGCTGACTTTGCTGCTGTGTAGGTGAGCTAGGTTGAGTGACTGATTGTATAGGCTGTTCCTGACTATTTTGTGGTGGCATCTGCTCATATTGTTTTTGGTGTTGCAGCGGTTTCGTTATAGATGTCTCGTAAGATGTTTGCTGTTGTTGTTGATACATGTTATTTGTTGGGTTAACATTTTGGTTGTTGTTCTGTGTCTGATTGACGGATGGCTGTGATTGAGGAAGTGGGGTATCTGCAGGGTATTTAATCTTTAAGCAATCCAATATGTAAATTAATGAAGCGTCTTCCATTTTCGCATTCTCGTTGTCACCACCTATGACAAACAACCGATTGTTCACTGATGTCATCGTGAGTCCAAAACGAGGTGAAGGAGAAGGACCCATATTTTGAAACTTGAACCAACGTCTACCTTTTTTTTTTTTTTTGTCCAATTTAAAAATTCTCGTCAGTGAATACTTGGGATTTGGGCGTTACTAAACAAAAAAAGTCATCTCACATACTTCTAATTTTGTAAGCACATAAATCATTCAGTTCCACGCCATTTTCGGCCTTTCCTCCAATAATATAAATAACGTCATCCGACATCGCTGCAGCACAGCTTTCTCTAGCTATAGGAATGAAACCATCTGCTTCAATTCTTGTCCAAACTCTTGAATGTAAGTCGAAAGACCAAATATCATTGAACAAATGTCTACCATTTGTACCTCCAAATCTACAAGTGCAAGTAAAATTTGCGGGGTATTTGTTTTTAGTCAATTAAAGGTTGTGTTACAAATTGCTAGTATTGTTCTTGATTGGTTCTTAGTTTCAATGTTTTGTGTATGAACTTTACATGTATAGCTTATTTTCAAAAATAACAGAAATATGTCCTGATCTCGGTTGAGGGCATTCGCTACTGGCGTAGATAACTTGCTCCCATCTCGGCGTATGATTGACTAGAAAGCAAAATTAGTGTATGTTTAGGTACGAGCACTTGGATATAATTGTAAAGAGAGCAATGATCCATACATGTGCTGGTATTGAAAAAAAATAGGTCATTAAAATAATGACCATCTTGTTGCCCTCCCCAAATATACATAATTCCATCTTGAGCTATTGCAGTATGTCCACATCTTTCTATAGGCTGAGGCCCTTCTAATTTGACACGGGACCATTGTCTTGTATCTGTTACCGAGAGATGAGATTAAGAGTAAATTAAAGTGAATCAAAAAAGATAGATCCGGTACTTTACTCAAATTTAAAATATAAAATCCGTTGTCATATCTCTCGTTGGGTATTGTTGGTTTTCCGCCATAGACTATTAATAACAATAATAAAGAAAAAAAGTCAGGATACTGGCCTAGAGTGTAAACATTGAATCATAAAAAGTCATTTATATGCATTACATACGCAGAACATGATTATTCATAGCAACCACAGTAGGCGATATTCTTGAAGTCGGTATGTCACCCGAAACATGTATGCTATTTGCTGAAATACTATCTAGGAGAATCTCGAATAATTAACATTAGGCAACTAAAACATTGAAGAACGATATGATAACTATTCAATTACTGGTATCAATATAGAAAATCTCTTTCTTTGTTGAAGACTTGTGTATTCCACCATAAACGATGATGGTGTCGGGAGAAACAGCAGCAGCAGCATGGCCAGCTCTTGGTAAAACACTGTTATTACCGCTCAATTTCTTCTGTGACCATGGATAAAGAGATTTGTCTGTATTTTTAGATAATTTAGAGAATAAGGACATTCGGCTTTTGTCGAGATGACCCTGATGTCGCAATGTCAATGGAAAAAGGATAGACTGGGAAAGAAGGAAGAGACGTGTACAATTAAGTAGATAAATGAACGGAAAGTAAATTAGTAAAAAAAAAAAGAGGGGAAAATCAATAAAAAGTTGTAGCTAAATTAAACGGATTTTCAACTAACTGATCTTTGAGTTACATTACACGAAACCATCTGTTTTCAGCGTTAAATCAAATACATTTATATTACATAATACAGTGAGCAGTGAGAACGGTTAGAGTTTGTTACTTAAAAGACAATTGAATGTCAGTAACCAAGAAATAAATGTCGTTCTCCAAAATGAACGACACAGCTAGATCATTTACTTCTTCTCTGTTATAGAATGCAATGAGAAGCGTAGTAGATAATTAGAAATACATTAAAAAAGGCTAAAGTAAATACTTTTTGAGAAATCTATATGCTGGAAAAATAATATGAAACATCTGTGAGCACTAAATTATTCACTGCTCAACACATGCACGTTTAATATGGATTTCTCAAGGATAAAATGAATGTACAGTTAAAATCAGTGACCAATTCTTAGAAAAATATTGTCGACCGCTGTCTTGGCTCGTATAGAAGGCTGAGGGCTAGTTGGTCAATGTCGCAACAGATAAGGTGTTTTCGCCTATGAAATAGTAAAAGAGCAGCTAAAAGTTGCAAATTACTTGACATCGATCAAAGGATCAATATTTGTGTTAAGTTGAACAGCTTTAGAGCCTAAACAAAATTCTGTTGCCAATATGTACAAAAAAGTATAAGTATATTCAATTTTTTGAAATTTGACTATAGAATGAGGACAATCAAATATGCTTACCCCTGGATCACAAGATGCATACCTTTCGTGGGCTTATCCAAATTGATATTACGGAACATCTATGAGTATTTAAGTGAACAATGAATTGCATAATAAAATTGCGAATGTTTATGGTGGAGTCGGACATCTACTCTTTATATGTATAATTTGTATAATTTGATGTTCAAAGGAAGTGAAACTTGGTCGAAGAACATTTTAAATATGTAGATACAGTATATGAGGTTTTGTCCCATGGCATGAGGGATGGTGGCGCATGTAGCATTGATGATAACAAAGAGGATATTATAATCATGAGTATCGCAGCGATAAGCATAGATGTTGGCTAATTCAAGTAATAGCTGAAAAAGTTGTTGCTGGTATTGGGTATAATGCTTGCTGCTGAGGGTATAAATGTTATTGGTATCAAGTAATACATCCCTAAGTATAGAGTACAACAATGGGGTTAACTACAATAGTAAGACCGATGATTTGCCTGAGACCAAGAAAACTTACTTTAGTCTGTGTTGCAGTTGGTGTATTCTTGGGGTATAGATGGTTTTGGCGACCACGCGAATTTCATAACGAAAGGTATACTGACGATTGGCTTGCTGCTTTTGAAGACGATCCAAAAAGCGAGACCACAAAAAGGAAAAGGTTATACCAAAGTCAACAAACCCACGTTGAGGTAATGACACAGAGTTAACAAAGTAGTCAAAAGGTACCTTACCACTCCACAATAAGGAAACCTAAAAGAAGTCTTTAAATAAGGAATCACCCTGGAGACTTTCCTTGACGCTTGACGGCCCCGAGAACCTGATTCAGACAGCCAATGTAAAGATACATTGATTCTCTACGACTGTTGATCTCCTTGGATTTTATCCTCGTAGAATGAATTCTTCAGTCAATGACGAATGGCAGCTGGCAACTCATTATCCAAAGCCTTGATAAAGACATTTTCCATGAAGATTTTCAGAATACTCAAAGGTGGATATGACTTGATATCAATGCCATTACGGCAATTGTAGGCGTAGATCCTCGGAAAGAACAGGTACGTCTTGAAGTGGTGTGCGCCAACACTATCTGTGAGCTTGAAATGAGGAATATCGCCAATACTAACAGAAACAGGATCAGAATCTTGTGGTGCACCCAACATAGTAGGAGCGTTCAACGTATAAGCATCTATATTAACCTCGGTAACTTTATCCTTCAAATCCGTTACGAATTGAAGTTCATGGTTCACTCCAGTTACGTGCGAAAGACTAGCGATTTCTATGTAGGATTGTTTGCGAATGCTGTAAGAGCAGTCTTGTTGGGTTCTAGTTTCTCCGTAACCTACACTGTTTCCTATTGCTAACTGTGATTTTCACTGATTGATACATCAGGTCGAGACGTTTCTTTTTTCAATCGGAATAATACTCGTCCAAAGAAGAATGTACAAGTCGATCCGAATCGCTGATCAAGCACGGCAGCAAAGGATCGGAGTATGTACTCCATAATTCGCTCTTTCTTTTGTAGCCATTAGAGGAGAAGATGGGAATTTCTGAATCCTTCGCAGGAGCCTTCGGAAAGGATTTAGTAAAACCATTAAATTCATAAATCTTTCTATATCTTTGTACTTTTACTTACCAATTTATAATACCAAAGAGCTTTTTGGCCATAGTTTAACTGAGAAGTCAGAACAAAAAATTCAAAATATTAGGTTCTCCTGCTATCGTTTTCAGGTTGAGTTATAATGGGCGTGGTAGAGGTCATGAAATGCTTCAATGGAAGAAAAGATATGTCATTTCGTCGTCTCTAAATCGGGCAAATTTTCCAAGTCCTTTGAGAAGATCGTGGACTATGTATGATTTGTCAGAAAATACGTGTCAAAGATGTCAAGTCATGCACATATGATTGACCAGGATGGTTCTTATGTTTTCTAAAATTGGTGCAGAGCAATCTGTACTTGTTGTATAAACGACCAACATTGGTATTCTTATATATCCATGGATGGTTTTTCATATCCTCTTCATTTGGAAAGCTTTTCCTCTTATTGACTAGATGGTTATATATATCAAATAGTGGGGGATCAGTGAGACTTGATGAGACATTGACGAGGGGAGAGATAACAGAATCAGAGCGCAAATGGAATGTGTTGAAAGAAGTAGGGATATAAGAACACCAAGAATTAAAAATTGGAGGAATTCAAAGAGTCTGAGATGGGGCCATCTTATGTTTGAAAGCCCATATTTGCAACAGTGGATTGTGGAAATTCAATTCGTTGTGATGCGTTTGATCAGATACCAACTATAATACATGGAATCAGGTAGAAAAAACATTCTATCTCGCTGTATCTATATGACTCTAATATAGGTTAGGTTTAATAAAGAGGAAGCGGCCTAAATATAAATGGTTACACATGAAGCATCCGTACCTGAAATCAGTGACTAGCATACAATCCCAACAGACTTTAAAAAGTAAAGAATAATTACGACATTATGTTCATCGTCATCGACTTGAATACAGTTATCCATTTATCAGGCAAGCAGATATCTCATTTGTTCTTGTTGAACACTGAACACAACAACGTGAATAACCGCAACAATAATTTAGCGGGCCAGAAAATCTATTAGATTTTGAATCTCACTTCCGAGGATAGACTTCAAACCAATCCTTAGCCACGACGAGGACATAAATTTGATTGCAAATATCAAAAGCAACAAATTATTACTCAACTAAAAATGCAGCAACTGAATGAAATGTTGTATGAAGCGATCAATGCTGCTAATATAAGAAACACCAGGTTGAAGTTGCAGATAGTAACACAGCAGCGAAATAACTTGTTGAATCAATATAATATTTTGCAGTCCAGGACAGGCTCTGAATATACACCTCGTGCTACTCTTCAGCTAGGTATATCAACCGATCTGATGAAAAGGTCAATTCCTGCGAACTTTAAGTGAATATAAAATACACTAGAACCTTCTTTGTTTCTGTTACAATAGATTTGTAAGTAAACATGCTTTATTCTCTGGGTTTAAGCTGCGACCACTTATTCAGGAGGGCTATTAACAATAATGGCTGTGCAGGAAGGGCTTGTATTCAGTACGGCTGACAATGCCTGCTTTGCATTAACAATTCCTGCAATAAAAATGAAAATGACTGCCATAAATTTCAAAATTGCTCTACCAAATTCATACTGTGACTTATAATACTTCGGCAATCTAAGCCTTGCCTCCAAATGTAACGAAACCTTTTTGTGCCTTTCCACAAATGGGAATTTCAACGTTTTTTTCTTTTTATAGTCAAACAAAAAGATATACTTCCCTCATTGATCATGTCAGAAGTAGCCACCTTGGAAAAACCTTTAGAATCACTAACAGTCAACGATGCAGACGGTAAGGGAATTAATTAATTACAAAGAAGATAAGAAATAGAGAGCTATACTTACAATCGTTTTGTATAGAAGTTGCAGAGTTCACAAAGCTTGTAAAAGATCTCAAAGCAAAGGTCATTGACATGAAAAACCAACTAAAGCCCCTAAAACAAAAGTTAGTCAACGGTCATTAAAGTCTATAACCTCTAATGTATGTTTAGTCTTACATTTGTTTCATTTTCTTTTTCATAGGATTGAAGATGATCAAATACACACTTCAAAAGGTGTTTCATTCCTTGAGGTGAAATATCACATTATGCTTCAGTATATCCTTCAGCTTGCTTTTTACGTACATCTAAAGATATCCGGCAAACAAATTGAAAATAATCCAGTTGTTGAATCTCTCGTCGAACTTCGGGTTTTATTAGATAAGATGAAGCCTATAGAAACCAAACTAAAATATCAGATCGATAAACTTGTGAGAGCAGCGGTTTTGGACACCAGCAGAAAGAACGAATCAGGGCAGCCAAACGAGACGACTGATGTAGAAAAGAAAGAAGAAATAACTGTGGCACAAGCTGTGGCAGTAGATCCATTAGCCTTCAGACCAAACCCAATGAATTTACTTGCTAAAGATGAAGACAATGAAGATGTGGATGAAGAGGAGAATGTAGGAACGGGCGTATATAGACCACCCAAATTAGCACCTGTTACTTATATAGAAGATGATAAGAAGAAGGGCGGAAAGAAGGAAAGAGACGAAGCTCGTTATAAGGAAAAAGCATCCAGATCACGTATCATGAAAGATTTGATGACAGAAATGTCTGAGAATCCGGAAGAAATTGATGTTTTCGGTGGTGTCAATGAAGGCACAGGTTTCGGTGATCGGGTAGATAGTATGATTGCAGAAAAGAATCGATATGAAGAAGATAATTTTGTTCGTCTTTCAGTGACACGTCGTGAGAAGAAGAGATTGAACAAGAATAGAAGAATGAAGTTCGAAAGTGAATTTGATAATTTGAATGATTTCTCTAATTTGGCTGGTTTGAAAGATGTCGAAGAACAGGAGAATGAACGTTACCGTAATGTACTTAGCCGCAGTAAGAAAAATAAGAACGAAGTTTTCGAAAGTAGTGGTACTAAACGTACAAGGGATGAAGGCAACGATGATGGATTCCATGGTCTGTTTGATGGCGAAAGTAAGGTGAAGAATAAATTCTCAGCGAAAAGACACAAAAAGAAGGGAGGAAAGGCCAAAAGAAGATCCTAAGTTAGGACTATAAATTATGAAAGATACCTGTATAGAAATTTGAATTGTTTTTGTACTCTAATTTTAATAAACTGAACAGTCTAAAATAGTTTTGAATTGCAATTTTATAAGTGTCGTTGCTCCTTGAAGCCAAATTCTTCAGCAAACATTGCATTTCCTCAGTGTCTAGAAGATCTGCAAAGCAGTATGCAAACAATAAACCATTAAGTCTTACAACGACACTATCACAATCACACCATTACTTTTTTAATTCCACGGCTTGCAGTTTCCCATATTTCCACATTTCACTTTGCTAAATATGAATTCGCGTAATAGAGTAGAATAAAATTAAACAAGAACTTGCCAGTTGTCTGTACTAGCACTGCCTCAATCAGCCCTTGCCAACAACTATGAACGCTGTCTCGACCGACCCACGTTTCAAGTAAAAGTCGAGAAGGAAAAAAAGAGGAAATTGTTGACGGCGCATATTTATCCCTTCATTAGAGGTTTTGGCAACACGGCTATTTCATAAAACACTTCCCGCATCAAAAATGTTCAAAGACTTTGGTTTAGAAGAGAACAAGAAAAGAAATTGTGAGCTTATTAATGAAATTATTTGGACAAACATACTATTCTCGAAAGGAAATGTACAACTGCTCTGAAAACCTTTATTGTCAAACGACTTGTAATAGAGCCCACAAATTACAACAGGCGAAAGATGTTCAAAAGGATGACTAAACGAATACAAATATCAAAGCGGCAATTGCAATACTGAAGAGAAACAGAGATTTGAATCATTGCAGCAGTTCATTTAAAAATTCTGTATCTGAACGCAAATTAAGAGAATCCATAAGGCTTAAATGAGATATTCATTTATGTCGAGCAAGAGTCGGAATCCTTCATTAACCCTTGAAATAGTTAAAGGCATTATCAATAATTATTTTTATGTATTTAAAAATGATCTACTTTACTATTATTTTTCGTTCATTACTCACTAAAGAATTTATTGTTTGGTTCAATGGGGTGGTTTATTCCTCATAGATTTTTAGAAGCCAACAGTGCTTCATATACGGTTGAGCTGCCTTGTTAAACTTCAAGGCTATTAACTGCAGAGCTTTTCTATAAACGAGCCAGTCTTGCCAAAACCCAAAGTAACAACCATAATATATTCAAACAAGGAATATTTATCGTAGCAAGGTCAGGACGAAATAACTAGCTTAAACGCACGAAGTTGTATTTGAGAAGCTTTCAAACTCCTTTACCCATGGATGTAAGCACTGCCAAAATGAAGTGATCATTTTACTGGAATCACCCAAAGACCGTTACGAGCCTTCATTTAATACACTCGAAGAGCATATCCAGGTCGCCATGCCTGGAGCAGTTAGTTATTTCGTTTCACCTTGCTAATCAAAGCTGCTACTAACAAAAAAAGGAAAATTAGTAACGTTTGGAATAGCAAGATAAACACGTAGCGTTAAATAATTGCCTTCATTTGAATCAACAAAAGAGCGCATTCAACATGTTGCTAACAAGAAGAAAAACATAAATTGTAAGGAAAAAAATTTCCCTCCCAGTTACGTATTACACGATGACGGGGGATTTGAAAAAAAATTACCGGTTACGTCATCTTCATGAATCTTGATGAATCTGAAATATGTTTAATAAAGCACTTATCATTACTGAATGCAGTGCTTTACGGTGCCAAATGACGGCTTTCGGATTTTTAATTGGCGGTCTATGTCATATCTTTTTGCGGTTTAAGAGAAAACCAAATGGTTGCAAAGACTTGGTCATGAAACCGTTGGTAGATCTAACGATGTCAACTTTATTCTTTTTCTTTCGTTACTTTTTTCTATCTTATTTTTTGTATCCGTAAATAGTTTTTCCATCCATATACTACTTTGTTCGGTTTAAACTGCAAAAATGACCTATAAGTCGAATGCAAGTAGTTTATAAGAGAAATCAAATGGCGGGAGCGGAGTTTGCAAATGGCAGTTTATGAATGTCAATTGGCGTTGTATGGTTTTTTGTACTGAACTATGTAAGCACTTTGGAAACACATTGACAGAATGCTGTACAATATTACTTAAACTTTCTACTTAACAGCATTACACGCTTCGGCAATTCTTGTATAAAGGTTTTCCGCATTTTGGAAAATCACTCCGTCTAACTATATTCTTAAAAATCGACCAGAATTGCTCAACTGGGTTCAATTCAGGCGAGTAAGAGGACAAAAAATGCTTCTGTACCCTCTTATTCTGACAAGTTCTTCCACTTCATCCTTTGAATGAATAGGAGAATTATCCATAATCAGATAACGCTCTTTAAATTCAGGATGTTTGTCAGGAATATCCATTGGTTGCTGTAGAAATCTCAAATAATGGCCAGCAGTAATGCCTTTTCTCTAATGATCATTGATAAGAGTAGGCTTCCTCTTACTACTACCGACTACCTTGATTCTTTTATCCATTTGGCGAACCTTGACATCGATATTGATCACGCCTGCTGCCGAAATAGCACCTAAGATTGAATGCGATTCTGCTTTTGTAGTGGATGTCTCAACGATTGCAGGCGTCTTCGCGTTTTGAGCGACCATACGCTGGCCTCATGTTGATCTGAAAACCGCTCTCACAAAAGAATACAATTATGCAAGTAATCCATATCTGTCGCTGTCCACTTTGCTACCCACTCAGACCGTTCCTTCAAGCACTTAGCATCATTTCTAACGCCTGGATGGCGAAAGTTTGGTAAGCATCAATGCACATTCATGCAATATGAACTTATTGACTGTGAAAGCTATTAATCTGAAGCCTTCAAATGCCTGCGTCAAACTCTCAACGGCTTAGTTCGGTGTGGCATATGGCTTTGATCAAAAAGTTCCATCAAATGTTCGCGTTGAGCCTCTTGCAGTTGGCTCTTTGGACGATTCATCAAATTTGTTTTTTCTCAAAGGTATTGAAACCTGTATTTGTTCTCATCATTTGTTTAGCCCAATTCTGGGCAGTTCGTTCACGAATATCTGCCTTTTGCTACTTTAGCAGCGGACAGAAGCTAAATTTCTTTATAATAGAGGAAAACAGTTTTTTGGCCATCAGAATAGTCAATATAACGCTTAACTTTTACCATCTGCGTTTGCACTCTTTTCTCAACTTCCTCCATTTTCATGTCGAAGTCGTCATCGTTCGGATCTACTTCAATCGACTTGTTTTGTGCTTGCAAGTACTTACCATAATCAGTCAAATTTTTTAAATCATACTCATCCCCTTTTTCTGTGATAAAATCCATGGTTTCTTCCCATTTTCTATTATAATGGTTCCCTGACCATCCTCATAGAGGACATAAAGCGTTTGGCTGCTCACGCTGTGCAGATCAGTTGAAATGCTTTAAGATTATACAACGCCAATTGATGTTTAGGGTTTGCCCATTTGAAAAATTCAGTTACGCAAATCGGAGTTTTTCTAACCGCAAAAAGAAATGACATAAACCGCAATTTGGGATTTTCTAAATCCGCCATTTGGCACCGTAAGCACTGTAATCTTTTTTTTTTTGCCATTCTTTGGCTCCCAATGAGCTTTATTGAGCGTAGTCGCTGTCTTCTCTGGAGACTGGGCTGGCTCCCCAACGATTACTCAGCCCATTGCCTATTTCACCCCCCCTATGCACTCTCACTGAAGCCAACGCCATTGGATGACTATAAATGCACTGCCGCGTGCAACTTCCGACAACTGTCTGTCACGTTCTGACCTCTAATTCATATAACAATCTGAGAAACAATCCATATTTACTGCCTTTACCAGTTATAGTGTACTGGAACAAGTAAGATTCCAGGCACACTGGGACAAATAAGATTTCATCAGGCACACTTCAACCTTACTGGTAATCTAGATATATCTCAGTGGCGTTGTACAATTTATTAACAGGAACAATATTACTCGGTTGTCACTACTGCTTTCTTAATTCCACTATAAGCTCAGTCCAACCTCGCATTCATATAAAAGACCATTCAATTTCTAAAACAAAATAAAATGATCGAAGAACTATTGTTCGGTCTCGCTGACTCACTCAGTCTCTACATTTAAAAACTTATTAAAATATAACTCCTGATATCTAAGAATATCACACTGTCGTTGACCCCATTTCTCATTTGTTGAACTAACTCCCCACTCGACCCATAAAACAGCGTGCCAAAGCTCCATTCAACTGAAGTATATCTTGGTCGATTGCCCAAATGCTTCTTTTGAAGCCGGTTACCTTCAGCACAAGAAAATGCACCCTACCCCGTCAGAAACATTAGGACAGCCTTTGCTAGACTAGCTTTATACGCCCACTACCATCGTTACTTCGTTTTTACCTAGTCTGTATTGTGATCCACTATCTTTTTCTTTGGTCCTCTTTTCGGGTTTTTGATTCCACAACATATTTTGACCTGCCCTGGACAATTTTCTCACATGTCAGTTTATCTGTGCCCATTCGGTTTAAAATTTAATTATTTTTTTTGGTTTCCCCGCCCCTTTATTCCTTGAAGTTATTTAAATTAGTTTTTTTCTCAGATAACCTACCTACCAACAGTATAAATGAATTCTAACGTTGAGTATTTAAAGCAAAACTATAACAATTTCAATATTATAGATTTTGCAAGAACAACCAAAATTGAAAGTTTGACTTCGTTTAAGAAAGAATTTGCAAAATGTTTAGCAGAAATCACTGATCAAGATATAAAAAAAAATAAAAATATCAAAGACATGATTATCTGGGCTAGACAGAAACGAAACAATCAAAATGAGGCAAGTACTAGACGCTGATTTCTTATTGATGGCTAACAACGCGTTATTTATTTGAAAATTACATACTAATTAATAAATTATTATTTATAAAATAAACTAATATAGATCACAGGCACAACAGAGGTGAAGCAATATTTTTATCGTATAGCGCGTCAAAAATATATCATTGTCAAAAAATATTTGAAGACAATAACAAAAACTCAATCTGTGGAGGAAGAAACAGCTACCTTTGAGAATGAGTCAACTTTGTTCGAAAATGAAATCGATTATGAATATGCAGAAGAAAACGGCGACAATGATTTAGTCAAGATGTTCAAGGCTTTGGATCCGAAGAAAAAATGGAGATTAAGTACCGGCAAATATGTGGACAACGAGCTATTCATATTTGCCTTACAATGTCAAGGAGATCACCCTAGCAAATCCCTCATAATAGACCCAGGTGATTCAAGTTATGCTCAATACGGTGTCTTTACAAAGGAAGAACTCGACGAAATCATGAACTTCGAAGAGAAGAAGCTACCTTTGCCTCCATCACATGTCGTAACACATATGGACAAGTATAATCTCAAAACCGCCCTGGATATCCGTTCAGCTTTGCAGAAAAACCACACTTTTGAAGATAATCCAGATAAAGACATAGATTGGATCAATTACACAGTCTACGGTTTATTACGCGAATACGAAAGTGGAAATATGAAGAGACATCACTCCGAATTGTGGTACCAAACACACATCTGGAGAATGATAGAGACGTGTTTTGATAAGTTCGAAGATTTGGAGGTAGCCATCGGTGAACCAATGAGCAGCACAAACCAAAAAAGAAAGAACCAGATGAGGACAATTAGTGGAATTATGCCGATGGTTAGAAAGAGCATGGGCCACAAGTGCGACTCTATATTTAGGACATACCAAGTAAAACATAGTAAAGGTTTAGAATTTGGTGCAACTGAAGCTAAAGGAAATTATGATAATTCTTCGGATCACTTAAAAGACGCGCTTTACAAATTACCAAGAACCCTTAAAGATATGCTTGACGACCTCATTGTAACCAAACCAGAATTGAGAGGATCTTTGCAAACGGTCGGCTTTATTCACTCTGGCTTAGCTAATACCATGATTCAAGTAGACAGGCCCACGGAATATGTAACTCGTGTTACTAGGCATAAAACTATCGAAATCAGTCATTCTATTGAAAAATTCGGAGCTACTGTTTTACCGTCCATCTTGTCAGCTTGGATATGTGCAGAAACTGTAAATCAAGTTTTTCAACTTTTTACTTCGTCGTCTGAAGAAGAAAAAGATTTTTTCTGGATGACGAACTATCTTGAAAAACAAAAAGTTTCACCTATACCAGTTACATCTCGGTCAACAGAGACGTCCTCAAGAAGAAAGAAGAAGACAAAAATAACCAACTGATCTGCTATCCTGATCGTTATTATGGTAAAAATTTATTATTTCAATACAAATTGTATTACTCTGGGGTCTGTTGACTACAATTTAGAACACAATAAGAGAGTTTTGATTGGCTAGTCAAAATGCTGAATACAATAACGAATTCTTGGTTCTTAAACTTTTCTGGCCATCATCTGCGCTTTTATCAGTTGCAATCCTCTCCTAACATCCCCATCATTACTGATTCTTCCGTCGGTTCCTCGATTCTAAATTATGAACATATTGTCTAATTTTAGGCTAAAATGCTGTGATCAAAGTGAACTTTGGTAATAACAAAAGTGAAATTTAAATGACCCAAGTATGAGAATTCAGTAATTACAAAAGCGAAAACTTAAAAAACGAACATTGGCGTAGTTTTTTCTTTTCTCTTCTTTCTTCCGCAGTTACAATGTGAATGCTTTTATCTATGAAAATAGAAAGGGCAAAGTTTTTGATGAGCAAGGATAACAAGCTTATTTTTATGAAATGGAAGTGGATAATGCATAATACCCGTTGGAACAATTAACATATTATGGCCATTATATGGATTTGATATAATCAGAAAAACCGATGAAGATTTTAGAGGAGGCAGAAGAGGAGATCGCAGCTCATGAATATACTGTGGAGCACACAACATTGAGATCTAATCGCAAGTATACAGATTCTGGTAGGGAAAAGTTTTTTTTCTCCATGTATGATCAAGGTTTAAGCTTGCGCAAGGCAGCTGCGCAGCTCAGTGTTCCACATTCAACAGCTCAAAGTTGGAAGAATAAATATGAAATGGGTGAGTATGTTTTTAAAAGAAAAGGAGGAAGCAGTCGACCCCAGGGCATCCCAGCAATCCTTAACGAAGAGCATCAGAAGTATTTGCTTGATCTGTTTGACCACATTCCTTTTTTGGTCCTAGATCAAATGATGGAAAGTCTCGATTCTCAATTTGTGGACTTAGAAATATCCAACACTTCACTTTACATTTCGTTAAGAATGAGTGCAAATTAAGCGTAAAACGTGCGTATTTCTATTCTGTAGACAAAAATAGCCTTGAGAAGCTAAGAGAGAAACAAAAATGGGTTCAACGTTGACTATAAACAGATAGGGAGTATTTAAGCAATTAGTATAAACATGAATCCCTCTTAGCTGATCTGAAAAGGGCGAACGTGCTATTGTCACTGTTCCAAAAACGAAAGCAAACAATATATCATATTATGTGCTATTGATTCTACGGTGTCTTGTATATTAATATAAGCCGCTCAAAAAAAAGGAGCCTTCAAAGAAAAGAAACGCTGGAGGAGGATTTGTACAGACTGTGAACAAAGGAAAAGGTGGTACCGTTACTGGTCATAATTTCGACCTTGTGGCTGCAATAATAAATGTAGTAGTTAGGCATGAACAATTTAAAGGGCATTATATCGTTATAGACAACGCACCAATCCATACTCATTTAAACATTCAGAAGTACATCGAATAGACAGGTTATTGTTGTATTTATCTTTCACCATATTCTCTTGATCCAAATCCTATCAAACAGTTTTGAGTATGCAAGAACAAGTCAAAGCGAAAAAAGCTGCTAAAAGAAGAAACGTTTGTGGTATTTGACGACTTGAGAGTTAAATATCACTTAGTTCAAACAATAAAAAGTTAACGAGATCAAACTAATAGGTTTTTATTTTGAATCAAGTTAAGTTCAAAGAGAAGAAAAATATCTACTGCAAAAATTTAAATATCTTCTTCATATTGCGGAACCTAGAAACTGACAGCTGAGTTATTCTACTCAAAGAAGACGTACGTCTTCTGAACCGTAAAAGAATAGAATTCTCCCTTGAGGAGATTACGCATCTACCCGGAGCGGGTGGACTTGTAAACGTATCCATGGCTTGATCTAGTGATCATGCAACTAACCTATTTTCCCGTGCTAACTATTATGTAGCACTACTTGCAGGAAAATAGTATTAATTAGGAAAATGGTATTCGTGCGTGGTGTTTGAGTTGAGTGAACAGTTATTGTAAAGGATGATCACAAACTATTATCTTGTAATCATTCTTTATGCCGAAGGCAGAGAATAGTACTTATAACCTATTATACCTTGGTGTTGAATCAATATATCCTGCATGTCCATATATTAATTCTACTATACATCCTATGTCATATAGTAACGTATTACAGTAAAATAAGTAAACTATATATCCTAAATGACAACCTGTTCAGCCTTATACGAGGTAGCTAATCTCGTATAAGAATCATCACTTATTCTATATTCGTTTCCTACTCTACTTTATATTATTTCAGCAGTAATGAGGTGTGAGGATCTTGTATAATTTGTATACGAGTTCTCCACATCTCATATGATGCTGTCAACTAAACACAACACTTAATTCACGGTACTCATATATTCGAGTTTATGTAGTTTCTAATTATTTCTGGTTTGCAATATTATATAATTCATCTTTATCCTTCATAAAGTGAATTATTTTTTAATATTTGTATATCATCTATCCTCAAATACGACATTGCCCCCCCCCCTAGACGGGTGTTGGAGGATTTAATCACAACAACGTCGATCATAAGGAGTTGTGGTAGATGGTATGGTTTGTTTGATTTGTGTCGTCATCAACAAATGCAAAGTGTACAGTCATTCGTGTGACAAGTGCAAATGAGGATACCAAAAAAAAAAAAAAAATGTGTTTTTAATTTTCTTTACTTTTCCAAAAGAAACAGAAAGAAAGTGGTCGAAATGCAATAGACGATTTGTCAACATCTACTTGCGAAATCTAGTTTTATCCGTAGCAGGAGTATAACTATGGTTCGATTTACCCTTAGACTTACGATTAAACGCTTTAGGACCTGGACTATTTTGCACCGCCTTAGTTCGTGGTGAAGTCCTTTGCGAAGTACGTTTCGGTTTGGAAGTTGGAGATGAGGAACTTGAGATGTCAGTAGAATCAGCAATCTCTTCGATCTGCGTCAACATATGACCTTTGTCCGTCATATTGAAGGGAAATTCAGATTCCTCAGTTGTGAGTTTGTTCAATTGAGCAGCATCCTGTTTAGGCACACTACCCTTCAAACGTCGCCAATAGTTGATAATGGCTTGAGGATCTGTGAACATATCTGCAGTAATCCAACTGTCGTCGGCAGCAGTATAGTTTTTCCAACGTACTTTATATTCCCTTTGACCGGGTACACCACGATGACCAACGATGGCATCGAATTCATACACTTCCTCTGATGAGACAACTGCATCTTGAGATACCAGTTTTAACTCGGACGGTGTAAATTCGCGTGGCAATAACAGGCCAATTTCATCACGAAGGGTGTAATTACCATGATCTGTCTTACGAACGACTTCATATGGACCTTCGTAGACAGGAGCGAGTGATTTTTGAATACCCTTCTTGCGGACAACCACAAAGCTACCCACAGGAAAGTCAACCAGACGATGTTTCTTATCGAACTGTTCTTTCATCATTTTGTCATAGACCTCAGTGCGTTCCTTGATGGCAGGAAAGACAATGTCAGACATATATTCGACGCGTTTGAGTAATTCGTCAGTACTCATGGCTCAATGTCATCCTTGGGGTCATTATAGAGAGGATATTCATTTGTCATTTTACGCGCAAACATCAGACAAAATGGACTGGTTTGTAAACGCTTGGAAATTTTACAATTGAGCATCAATTGTACGGAATTGATTAACATATCCCAATTATCCTCAGAGTTACCTAGGATCAATTTGGATAACAATTTCTTTGTATTTTGGACAGCACGTTCAGCGCCACCATTACTTTGAGCATAATAAGCCGTGCTTAGATGCTTATCAATTTTCATAGCTTCACAAAGTAGGTCCAAAATTTGGTTTTTCCATTCAGCACCACGATCAGAATTGATGATACGAGGATAACCGATAAGGGAAAAGATTGATACGAGTTCACTCGCAACCGTTTTAGCAGACTTGTCAATAATGGGACGAAGAATCACAAAACGAGTAGCTACATCAAGTAAAACCAAGATGTATGTATTATTTTTGGAAGTGCAGGGGAAAGGTCCACATAAATCCATTTGATAATGCCAACCTGGAGTATAGCAGTATAATGGTTTCAAAGGGTTATATCCACGCTTGGAAATGACAAATTTTTGACACGTAGAACATTGTTTGACAATTTCAAGTGCGTCTTTCATGATATTGGGCCAGTGCATACCTTCATCTTGTCGGATACGCTTAACAATGGCTTCAGCACCAAAGTGACCGAATTCATGTGCTCTTTTCAAAATATCAGAGCGATCTTCCTCAGGAGGAATGATGTAACTGTCATCCATATTTTGGGCGTAGTTGATTTGAATGTTTTCATCCACATCACACAGGTAATTGAGTTGTTCATCCAATGTATCATGGATGGTGCGGATTGACCATTGTTTGATGCGAACGCTATTATTCGCGAGAGGTAAGTCATCATTAACTGATTCGTTAGATTCGACTTCGTTATCATTATTGCCGATATGACAATAAAAGTTTTGAAAGTTGGGAATTCTTTCAATGTTGATTAGTTCATTTTCTTCAATGAACTTGTCTTTGTTCGACTTTTATGATTTTACTTCCACTCTTCCTTTTTTTGAGAGCTTTGGCCTTTTGATTACGGTTTTGCTGAAATAATTCAGGAAACAAGGCTTTCTCATCCTTTTCGAAGAGAACACGATCCTGTTCCTGGGGAAACATACGAGACAATTTATCGCTCATTACATTTTCAACGCCAGGAATCCAGACAACTTTCATATTTGGAAAGGAGAGAATCACTTCCATGTAACGCATCATCATCATGGACAGGTGTTTGGTAGTAAAAAGATATGATAAACTTCTGTGATCCGTATAACATGTGAATGGTTTCGATCCATGCAGAAATTTATAGAATTTTGTCAATCCAGTGGTCAATGCCAAAAGTTCTTTTCGGGTCACACTGTAATTGCGTTGGCTCTTAGACAAAGCCTTGGATGCAAAAGCAATATATTTGATTGTTCTTGTACCCTTTTCTTTATCGACATATTCTTGGAACAAACAAGCACCAATTGAATACGCACTAGCGTCTACAGCCAAACTGAATTCATGATTCAAATCGGGATGACTTAAGACAAGGTTTTCTTTTATAATTTTTATGATGCTATCATAATGTTGATGCATCTCAGGGGTCCATACCAGCGTTTTCTTTGTGCTGTAACGTAAGTGATCAAGCGGAGCCGTCAATGCGCTAGCTTGTGGTAAATGAGCACGAACGTATGACACCCAACCACAAAATTTCATCATGGCTTTTGCTGTCATTGGTTTTGGCCAATCGTCGATGTTTGTCAAACGACGAGGATCAATGGATTTTCCTTGCTCTGAAATACAGAAGCCAAGTAAATACACAGAGTTCCGAGCAAAATGAGTTTTTTCAACATTAATAGGCATATTGTTTTTTGTCAATGCCTCAATAACACGTTTACAGTGTTCCAAATGAGATGGCAAATCTTTCGAATGTACAACCAAATCATCAATGTATATACATACAAATTGTTTCATATCCTGGAATATTGTTTCCATAACATTCTGAAATATGCCAGAAAGGGATTTCAAGCCAAAGCAAGCACCTCTAAATTGCCAGCTTTTGCCTTCAAAAGTAAATGTTAATTTGTGGCGATCTTCTTTAGCAATTTCCAATCTGTGGAAAGCACCAGAAATATCAAAGACACTGTAAATCTTTGACTCGCGCATCTCATGATAAATGTCATCGATGAGAGGTGTGTTGACGTT